AAATACTTGATATATCCTGTGTCTGAAAAAGTAAACTGCTGATTTTGTAACTTAGCAAAATGCTGAAAAAATCGAAGATTACTATCCTTCTCCGCGTGGTGGCGTGCTGCACATGGTGCAGCACGCGGTCCGCAATGGGTTAAAAGAGACGTGGCTTTTCCTGCCTTTCCTGACCACTCACAGCTTGCTTGGAAAGTTTGTGTAGCAGTTGATCTCTTCAATATTAAAGTCAACATTTTTGACTATCGAGTTGATTAGGTCTTCTTTCATGGGTGCACATGCCAGAACCCTTCGCTAGTCAGGGACCCTTACAGAGGTGAAATTCCTTTTGCAGATCAAACTTGAAACTTACTTGGGTAAAGTTGAGAGGTGCGGGTTGCCTGTATGAAAGATGCTCAGTGAACATCATGTCGCCATTGACACCAATCCGTTTAATCTCACGCCAAAACGATTTCACTGCCTAAAAATCGAAATGTGTGCAAATCGAAGTGGGTTCCGAAGGAAGAAGAAAAGTGCTCTGAAGAAGACGCACATCAATAATGGCTTCGTATGTCGTAGCCACGCTGGAAGATACCATTACAAAATTTTGGCCAAAGTTATTTGTCGTCGTAGAGGAGCCATCGTTTAGGCAGGAATCCGCAAAATTTTGAGCTCCGTATTCGAGGTCCATGCTATACTTCTGAAGCATGTCAAAATACCATACTACGAAGGAGGAGTGTAGCAGAGAACGTGGCTGCCTTGAATCGAGACTGTGATTAGATTCGATAGGGGCAGGAAAGTAGGTGACAGAAAGCACAGTCGGCCATCGCTTCCGGCTGATTTAAAAATTTTACGGCTCCTCCGTTCCCTCTCAGGGGAAGGGATCTCGATATCCCACACCGGCAATCTTGAGAGGGGTCACCCTCACATACGCCCTCCCTCTCACTGTTAGTGTTTCCTCTATGTTATGTCACTGTTTCTGTAGCAATTGCTTCCAAGAACAGTCGACACATTCCAACCCTGCCCCAAATTTCCTCCAGAAGTGTTGGGTAGGTAGAAGGAGGAAGTGAGGAAAGAGGGCCGTCTATGACACCTAAGAAATCGCAAACGCTCTGTCTTAGGTTACGATAGATAAGCCCGCCTCATGTATCATCCCGCATGTGTAGGAACCCAGGCTCATCCATCTTTGGGGTAATCAATAATTAATCCTCGGCTTATACACCAAAAAATTTTAATGGCAGAAGGTAGACACTATTTTTGCGATCATTATAGTATTTCACACCTTCTCTCTTTCCGAGCATTTCGTTCTATTGGTGAAACTTCTTTCCGTTTGATTTTTAATTGCTGCTCTTACTTTACGAAAGAAAAGAACCTTCCAATGTCAAGAAACTGGTACCAAGAAAATGCCATATAGGACGAAGCCTGCCACGACCAAACCTGATGATGAGATTTTGGTGGTGATCTTCAGTTTTAGTTGAGATCCTGCAGTTGAATAAATTGAAAAACAAGAATTGTATTTCATAAGACATGACGGCCGCGGAGGGGGAGGGGGTCCAAAAGAGTCACTTTGCCCATGGCGCACATCAAACTTTTCGTCGCACAGGGTGCCGCTGTTATGGAAGTTTTACGGCGAATATTCCTTAGATGTCCCCCGTAAGCAGAAGCAGGCCCTCCTTCACTGCCCTTCACCGTCTCCAGAATATGACGTCATCTGTCATCACCGTCGAGCTCAAGGAGGCCTACCGTAATCGCTCCATCTGAAGCTGCTACATGATTTTTTTCAATCGATTAACTGGCCGATAGGTTCCAGAAAGTCTGACTATGTAACACTGTTTCTGACCAGCGCTTCAGATAATGTCGGAATGGCCACCGATCCGTCTACGACCCCGCTGAGCTTGTGCCGGGCACTTGGTTCCCAGAGGAAAATTTTCTGAGTACGTAGGGGTAGAAGGACATTATGAAGTTTTTTGGTACAGTGAACGGCGGTCTTCAATTTCTTCAATTTTCGGAAAAGATCATGCGGTTTGAATTTAGGCAAAACAAATTATTCCCGTGGGAAATTGAAGGGTGAGTGACTCTCATTTATTGCCCTCTCTCCTTTACATAACCTCAAAAGTCAAAATTTTATTTCTTATTAAAATTTCGTGAAGTTCGTGGGGTAATCGAAGCCGTGCTTCGAGAATGGCATTCATTTCTATGTAGTTCGCCAGCTGACGCCACTTGGTTACGAGGACTTTTCACCAGACGTGCTGTATACAGAACATATCTGGTGTCCTTATTACGAATATAACATTCATTTTTTGGCGCTGTTGCTATTTGGCCTATTTCGTGCTCTTATGCCCCGCTTTACCGAATAAATCGCGAGCATGGCTTTTCTTTGGGTAAAGGAGAATTAGAGATAAGTCAGTCACACTTTGATATCACACACTTCACCTTTTACCAGACAGTGCGAACTTTCACTACCCTGGAGTCCCCCCCCCAGGGTCAACTGTGCGTTGTGTAGCTTTCAAAATTTTCACGACCCCTCCCGAACCCTTTCAGTGGGCATCAGTGCGAACCCCTTGTGTCAGCTATTTATGTCTATTCACATAGTTTTTTGTTTCTTCTCCAAAAAGTGTTTAAGTTCCGTTTTTTGTGCACACGCGAGTTTTCAACATTGAATCCTCCATGAATTGCTCCAACCGGCATTTTGTGGATCCCCAATGCTGACTAGAAACTTGAAATAACGGCTTCTGAATCAATAGTGAAGCTTTTTTGGAGGACCACTCTTTCGAAAAAATACCTGTTCCGTCTTTGTTCGTTTTTTCTCTCATGACCTTATTCGGCATTATTGCCCTTGAAGCACTAGTTTTCTGCCTTTCACCCTTACAAGACCTCAAAGTTGGTATACTAAGAGGCGTAAAAACTATCGAAAATTGAAATCTGAAGGATTCGGCTTTGTAGTGTATGCTGCATTCTCCTGAAAAGTTTCGACATGAAAACCTTTTCTCTGCCAGAATTTTCAGTTAGGACTCTAGAAATCAATCCGTCGAACTGAACGAATTTATTTCTTCTTGCCTCACTGGAAAATGAAGTGACTCAGTAAGAGCTTCTGCTCTGAGATACGCCATTCAACCGTCTGTGCTGAACAATCGCAGTGGTAGCTGAAAGTCTCCCTTCCTTTGCCGCTTGGCCATCCCTTGGTGTGTTGAATCCAGAGGTAGCAGGCAGAAGACAGAAACCTATTTATTGTTAGCCGGATAAACTGACATACCTCCTCTTCAAAAAGCCAGAAAGTGTCGGGTGCAGACCATACACCACAAGTGACGACGGCCTCCAGAAAATGCAAATGTTTTTGCCAATGAAATGATTAACCTGTTACAGTTGTATTCGATCAGTTGACAGTAATAATTACAACTATCATTTACTAAAAATCAGCTATCACTATGAACCACTACTAACCAGATTTACTTTGGAGGCCGTCGTCACTTGTGGTGTATGGTCTGCACCGCACAATTTCTGGCTTTTTGAAGGGGAGGGTAGTATGTACCGTCGGAGGTTTTATATACCCCACTGAGATCATGGTTTAGGCGCGAAACGTGATCAAGATCTCAGCAGTACCAACGACCTATGACCCCTACAACACTTGGTATAATTCATATTTTCTGATCGGTACTTGTTTTAACGAGCCCTCCCTTTCATTGGCCAAATACGATCCCCTCGTTGATCTGTGCGCAACAGGCGGATGACCCTGGTCCGCTTTCTTTGGGTCGACCTCAGACACTATATGTGAGAGAGCCCAGGGATTCCACTTTCGTGATCAGGGCTATGGGCCAAATTTCGAAGAAAATTTGAGGTTTGGAGTTGTAACACTTGACTAGTATTGAATGCCCTTAGACCGTGGATTGGAATTAGAGAAATACTGAAATAATGCCAATTAAATAACTCTTTTTTGAGGAGGGTTTTTTTAGTCCATAAGGAATGCGTTCCGAATCGCGAATTAGAACAAAAGAATATCTAAACAAATAGAATCAGATAAAAAGAACTTCTACGGTACATAAGCACGCATAATGTATAAGCCCAGGCATAGCTGTCGTGAGTTAGGGTAACTATCATTTACCAGAATTTATCGCGATGATTTCGTCAATGTTTTAAAAAAAACCATCACTTTAATTATATGTTTAGCCGGGCTTACCAGTTGATATATATTCGTTCCTGGAGGAGCATTTCTGCTTGTCCAAGCATTCGGCACTAGACCTTGCGCAAGTCTCGACCTGAAAGGCCACACAGGTCTTAGTAAAGGTACAAGTTTATGGTCTTTGTGGGGTTACGGTCTATTGTTCTTTCGCGTTGCATTCAGGCCCTATGTCATTCAATCAGCATAGCTCCACACGCTATCGTGGGTATAATGGCGGGTTCTAGTGAAAGCGGACATTCTACAGAATATTAGGCCATATTGCTGAGGAACCATTAGCAAGGTGCCTCAAAAATGAGTTAGATGAGGTCCAAAAACTGGTTCAGGTTCACTGAAGCCTATCCGCGCACTAACCATGCGGACTGAAAAAGCACTTGTCATAGCTTCGTGGACATTTAGCATTGGTGTGTGTGATCAGGCGATTAGGCGATTAGTCTATAATGCAAAATATAAGTATGGATTGGGCGATTAGGCGAGTGGGCGATTGGGCGGTTTCTCAATGGCCGGAGCAACAAGCCAATTCGTATCATTCCCTTATCGCTACTTGCATTACTTGCCTTTTACTCCCTATCGTACCGCCACTTTCTTCTGAATCATCTTTCTGACAGGATTCTGAGTGATGAAGTCATTGGCCACGCAACAGCAGACGCTTTGAACAGATTGTGAGGTTGCAGCGACTGACAAAGGGACAGATGGGACCTGCACTGTGTGGCGTATTCATGGCATTCTCCTCCTCCTTTCCCTTTTTATTGGGGGAAGAACCGTAACGACCAAAATTCCCTCGACTCGTGGTTAACACTCGGTGGTCCAGGTGACCAAAGAGACCATGTGCTACTAGAACAATAAATAAGTACAGAAAAAACACGTACCTGCGATAGTTGTGCATATTGACGATCTTCGTCCGAATTTCGTCCGTCATTGGACCTAATTGTGGATGCTGTGGTTACGGTCTAAGGTCTCAACGTATAAGACCTATTCAACTTACTTTGTTGTCCATTGCCTTCATGAATAAGCAGGAGAACCTGAAAATACCTTTATGAAATTGTGAACTTCCTTCAGCTTTTACGGCTCAATTACCTTCATAATGTGGATCACGAGCTCGTTGTTGCGGCGCAACCAATTTTATTAGTAGGGACCTGTCTTCTCTATTTGGGAGCACGTGACTCGGCTACTTTAGCGCTAGTCATTGTTGAGACAATGTGTCATTCTGAATCCATTGCAGCCATGCGATTTTGCGATTTCCTTTTTTTCGTAGAGTGGATGGTAAAAAAAACACGGAGAATCGCATGGTCGAAGAGGATCTACCCTACATTTTGAACTCCAAACCAAGCTGCAAATTATGGCCCGACCTTGAACGATTGCTCTGCCCGCAGCCTGAGCCTACGTACAGCAAATCAGCAACAAATCGTACTCACCACGAGAAAAAGCAACATGGCTGATCGCACTGAACTGATCGGGCCAGCCTGATGCTTTTATACGTTCTGTTACATAAATGCAGGAACGTCGCTGCTCCCCGCTCTACAGCATTTCTTCGACGTTAATCGAATATTCTAAAAAGCAAAGCAAACTGCGATATTGCGCGTCCTCGCTAAAAAATCCATTAATTTGCAATTGTGCGGCTTGTGATTGCGAGCATTCACCAGCGTTGTAATCTATGCATTGGTGGATTCTCCCGATCAAAACTCTCTTTATATCATAAGTAGGCCGAGAGTATTTCGGTTAGAGACTAGTGACGTGAAACGATGTGATTTGAATAGACAAATTTAGACAATTTAGCCTCATGTTAGTCGCCTATTCACATTCGTAGCCTCTGCAATTTATTGTGTGGGATATGGGCCGCATCGTATTCAAACGTCTGAATGGAAGAGGAGTGCGTGGCGCATCTCCAAAGATTTGGTTTCGATTCGCAATCACTGATGAAGAATCGGGCGGTTCTCAAATCATTAGGCGACAGTGGAAAGGGAGTGTCTAAGTTAACAATAAGTAGCGCCTTTGCGAGAAAAGGCGCGCT